GATTGTCGTTTTCTTGCGAAGAGTTCGGTTGTTTCCTTTACTATTGATTCCTTTTTCAAGATTGTCAAGTATTCCGTCGTTAATATTCAAAATAATAATTAAATTGAATTGTTGAAGATTGTAAACGTAAACTGCAAGAAAATGTTAAACGTTATAGCTTAATCGTGATTATAATGGCATCAAATAGCATTAACCTGTTGCAATCCAGTAGGTTAACTTAAGCTTGATCACAAAATTAATATATACGGATCGAATTACGCAACCGCACTACCGGGCACTATTTGAATATTAACCAAGTCCATTGAATAAATCTACTGAAAGCACTTAATTCAACTGGCACGGCAATTTTACCTCAGGGTATGTTGATTATTTATTTTATTTAAGTTAGTAAATAAAATTAGGTATCATGAATGTTTAATTATTGTATGTTCCTTTAGATTATATCTTTTAATTTTTTCTGTAACCAACTAATAGCTGGCCTGCCTCCAGTTTTCAACTAAGGTCCCAATGATTTAATTACCTCCGTGGCCGAACTGTTACCATCCAGGGGGTCTACTCTCAAACGTCAATAACTAATACTCGACCAAATTAAAAAACAATGTCGAGTATGAAGCTTCATTCGCGTCGTAGTCTTTTAATTTTGTTGAGTGTTACTTATTTGATAATAATTGTTACGGACGGATATCGGCGGAGAACGAGGGCCGGGAGAAATATTTTGTATGGTCTACACTTATTTCTCTCGTAAGTTTGGGTGTGATTTGTGGTTGTTCATGGGTATGTCCATGACACCCGCCATACAGGGTTTCCCTTAGGGTAGGCTGAGTACGTGCGTTATTATTATGGGCTGCGTCATTTTATACATATCTCTGGCATCTTTTATTGCCATGGACTGGTTAACGCTTTTGCATGTTTAACATCAAACGTTGCCATACTAGTCCATAAAAATGACAGAACGTCACTAGAAAGATGTTACGTGTGCTCTTTTTCCCCAATGACCACTCTAGCCGGTTGAATCTCATAACACAAGAACTATTGATTATTACGGCATATTAATTGAATTTCGTGGCGGATAGCCATTCTTGCGTACCTGCATTCCTGCGCGGACGCATCGGTGGTGTAACGGTTGGCGTAACGAGCCGTGGACGCATCGATAAGGTGTCGTGTATCATAACATCGCGAATCTACTACTCAAAGACTATTAAACTGCAATACTTATTTTTAAGTCAAGAACGCGAAAAATATCTTCCAAAATTTTTACATCAACGAAAGAAATGGCAAAACTTATGTTTTAAAGTATCTTTAAAAGTACTTTCACGTTTTTTAATTATATCATTTTATAAACTAATTAAATGGGAAAATGGGCTGGCCATAGCTGTCGAAGAATCGATAACCGATGGGGGAAGCGAGTTTTTGAGCGAACACCACGGCTCGGAAAACGTAGTGCAGGACGCCCTGTGACCTGATGGAGTGACGATTTGCGAAGAGTTGCTGGCAGCAGATGGACGCAACGACCTGAGGACTGGGCGAAATGGCGCGCGTTGGGAGAGGCCTATGTCCAGCAGTGGACTACGATAGACTGTTGTTATTGATGATGATGATTTTATAAGCAAGTCCTGAATTTCTTTGTTTCTCTCTTTTTTCTTTTTTTCTCTGAATCTATTTAATATATATATTATGTATATATCACCGGGACGTGTGCTTTGAGATCTAAACAAGAGTAAGAATTCAAAGTTACTCCACAATTGTGCAATTTGTTGTCGCTTCAATACTAATAATGAGTTGTATGCGGCGCAGGTATTTATTGTGTCAATAATAGTTTAATAATAATGCAATCTGAGGTAGGAACACCGCAATGACGGTTCAAATTCCGAACCAATATTGAAGTAATGCGAATAATAACGTCTTATACCATGGACATAAAGATGACGGACAGTTACTAGTAATTGAATTATACAATATTTAGAGATCGTAAATTTTGATAAATTATCTAAATCGGTTTTGATGTGCTGCCTGATAAGCAAAGTACATACCGCTTACATTATTTATAATGAATAAATAATCTTCACTAAGTTCAGTCACATCACCTGTGAAACTCAAAATTTAATGGACAACAAGAGAACAAACGTACTCAAGTCTCTCACCTTGTTTACTTTGTCTATCGGTCAAGTTTTAATATGGTAACCGATAATTCTAAATTTTACAGGAAAAATAGAAAACTATTTTTTGTGTATATCTCAGCTCGGGTGCATCGTAGGATAGTTATTTCTATGTCAAAACAAAGCTAATTTTTTTACAGTTTATATTCTTTTATGATATTTTTGTATTAGTTTTATTATATAAAGTTATGGATGAAAATAATATTACTGAAATTGCAGGCCAAAAGTATAGTATACAACACATCATTACCATATTATTCGCGTGTAAACCCAACGATTTCGTAGTCAGTATTAATGCATTACCGTATTATTCATTGAAATATGGTGTCAAAAAAGGTATCGGTAATATAATATTACGACTTTATTCGGATGAAATCCAAGCGATAGTGTATACAGTGATATTCGTTGATGTATGGTATCAAAAAATTAATAATAATGTAATTATGCAAATACATTCTATATAAAAATAAAAATAACACATGAATATAATTGTTTTAATGTGTTTCTTTAATGGTTATCATCACTTACGGAAAAAAATTACGATTGCATAATCTGTACTAACTTGTTATGGTATTATTCGTGTAAAAGGGGTGTTTAGACATTAAGGGAATAATATTATTACGTTCATTACGGGGCAATAAAATTAATGTACTTTTATAGATATCGAAATATTACAAAAAAAAATTACAAGGTTTAATTAACGCTCTAAACACCGGATATGCAATAAAATGAAGACTACCGCAGCAGCATATTACCATATTATTCGGTGGGAAGGGCGATAATCATGCGCTCGTCTGATTTCATATCATTTTGTGTACATGCATTTTTTTGTTTCGTTTTTCGCCATTAGGGAGTATTGCGAGGAGTTCATTGTTCCCGTTTTCGTGCTATGTATAATGCCGTTAACCTTTTAATGAATTACAACTTTCAAATCTCAACGGATTAACGAAAAGCACTCATAAATAGTTAACTTTAATAATTACAGTTAAAGCACGACTCAGTACATTAAGGTAGTAAGGTGTGTCACGATACTGTTTCGTACGAAAATTTTTGCGCATTCATTATCTGTTTTTTTACTAAAATGTTAATACGGTATGATCAATACTAGGGTTGAATTTGCTACTCAATAAATGATGTTTTGGAGCAAAATTATAATAATTAAAGCAGAAATAAACAGTGCTTGTACATTACAATTTTATAGTTGCGCAACTTACTATCATACTAAGACTGTTCATAACGCATACATATTTTAGAAGAAAACGCTAACATTTAGACACTAAAGATGGTTTTCCACTGGCGAGGCGAGACGAGGATTGAAATCTCGCCGGTCTATTTCCACCAAAAAATGCCATTAATAATACCTCGCGCTGTGGTTGTGGATAGTGAAGATAGTGCTGTTCCGTACTTCTAGAGATAAACACGCGACCCCGAAAGTTATTATTATTAAATATGTTGAGGGAAAAATAATAATAATAACGCACACACTCAACATATGATGAAGCCATCTTTTTTAAATCGTACGTACCCCACATTCTCGCAATTGATATTAATAGCTCGCGAGAAACCGTGTTTCCGTCGCGGAGTTCAATAATTATAATATTTAATACTTTAGCAGGCAGCAATACGGTTCAACATTACATGAACAAATATTTCAATTCTCGCATCACCCGTCCTAGTCAATCCACACCATTTCCACCGAAGGGCTAGGAGAGAATTGAAATTTTGCCATATAAATTTCAATGCGCGTTTCGCCTCGCCGGTGGAAGAGCACCTTTATTATTATCTTTTGTATGAAATCAGGACCGTGACATAACCTGTGACGTGACACAACTGAAATAAGTTGCCCGCCTTTAATTTTCCTTTTAGCGATATTTTACTTTATCCAAAGAAGAGATCGCTAAAAATGTAATGTCAAACACACCGGCACCATAGTTGTACTTAAGTTCAATCAACCGTTTAGATTCGAAAACCATTGTCTATAGTACACGGACGCACAATGGGTTTGATTTGTCGTTAAATACGCTGACATATTCTTGTGAATAATGGTGACTGGCCTAGGCAGTCGATCTGACATAGTCACTATCAAAAGCCCGTCTGTTACAAGTCGTAGACTTCATGGAAAGTAATGAAATGCATTTACAAGTCTAATTGCTATTTGTAATCAGGATCATCACAGAGTATACTCGCTAATATAGGCTGCAGTATAGTAGCTAATACGATAAGTGCAAGTTACGTGCGTATGATACATTAACGTGCATTAATACAGCGCGGCACAATTAAAATCATCATTTTTATGTACCACTTTTCTTATACTCCTTTTTATACTACCTACCAACATTTTATACGGATTTGTATTTAGCGCGTATTTAGTGGCATCTAGTTTACGATGTGTCAGCGAGCGAGTTGAATGCTTTAAAGTTGAAATTTTGGGACAGTATTGATTGCATTTTGAGAGTATGTTATAGTTTAAATTTACAAAAGTCTTAAATTAATATTTTTTTATATTAAATAATTAAATTTCTATTTCCTTCCCGTGTGCATGCATATTAATGCACATAACTGTACTACACGGCTATTAGTGATCGTCAGGTACTTCCAGTACTAACAGTAATGTGACATCGTCGCTGCGGCGTAAAATTACGCGTCCGTCGAGCTCTCTTCCTCCGCTATTATGCGTGTTTTGATTTAGAGTCGCATAGCCAAATGCAATACTTACGCGGAACTTCCAACCAAATACGCTAAACAAAACGATGTAATGTAATGTGTTTTGTCCACATTAACATTTTTTTTTATTAGTCCAATGTGAATGTATGATTAAATTTTACGATATTTTTTTTGTTGTAGACGGGCGGCGCAGACAGCGCCAGCGGAGGTTCGGGCGGGTCGGGCATGGAGTGTATGCAGTTGCGCTCGCCCCCCGGACCCTTCCATTACCTCATCTCGGAGCAGGCTAAGTCCCTCGTCGCTCTACAGGTCAGTATCACCGATCTAACACATGTCGGCCATTAAATTGCTATTTGGTTAATCTTCTAATGTAATCAGTCATTGAGCATACTGCAGTTGCAGCCTTTTTGTTTAACTTTCATTGAACCACGTGCTAAACGACCACAACTCAAGTGTTGACGGCCAATTTGTTCGATTGGTAGCAATTCCTTTGATAGATGTTACAATTAAACGAGCACAACGAATGGTCTTGCATTCAGTCCGTTGTCACAAATACAAGACACCAAATCAGGCTTCGTCAAATTGTAATCAACGCTCTGTCGTCACTTAATAGGTCAATCACCTTGGTAGTTTATGATTGTGACATATAATCTCGATCACGCATTGCTATTGAATTTTATGGTTGCTATATCAATTAAATAACTAATTCTACAGTAGTGATTAATTTTAACACGCTATTAAAATACGACGGACAGGAACTCCAGAATGAGGTCGGAGCTCTGCTCGAGTTTCGCGACCTCGTCATCGAGACATTCCCGAACCTCCGCTCGAAGATGGCACCGTCGACGCCCGCCAGCGGCACCCGCCGAGACTGGGAGCCGGGCGTGCGCGTGCGGCGCAAGCTCGCCGGAGGGGGCGGCGACGCGGCGCGCGCCAAGCCGCAGCCCTCCGTACAGGACTCGGGCTTCAGCACCGAGACGTCCTGCGGCAAAGACGCGCACTCGTCGTCCGCCTCCGCATCGGCGCCCGCGTCTCGTCCGCGCCCGCTCGAGGACGAACTGTGGGCGCTGCTCGACGTCATCCAGCGCAAGGGCGGGCGGCTGCGCGACGAGGCCGAGGTGCTGCGCGGCGAGCTGGACGAGCGGCACGAGGCGGACACGGCGGAGGAGTCTTTCGCGCGCGCCCTGTCCGCCGGCTGCGGCGACGGCGCCGACCTGCGGCGGCTGCGTTGCGAGCGCGACGCGCTTCTCGCGCGCGCCGCGCAGCTGGAGGCAGAGGCGGCGCACGCGCCGCTTGCTCTGCGCGCGCCTCTCGGCCGACTCGACAGCGCCCTGCACGCGCCCGCTCCCATGCCGAAGGTGCCCGTTCCGGACTCGAAGAAGTTCGCGGCGATTCTCCTCGAGAGCAATCCCGTCGAACTTCAAAGACAGCTTCTCACCACTACCGTACAAAATCAGGTTAGTGTCGAACGCCGTGCTTACCCCCCTCGCTTCGCCCGATTCCGTCCTTGTCCTTGTCCGCGCCCACCGCGATCTGTCCGATAATGTCCCCTAAAACTCCCAGTTGATAGTTCTCGAATGTAAACACCCACGTTAGCAGGTAATAGAACTAAGCTCAAGAAATGGCACACGGTTTTAATTGAATAAATGGGCAATTCGTATCAACGTTTCCATAGGCTTCAGACAGATATTACAATGAAATATATCATTTTCCAAGACTAATATGTTACATTTGCAAATGCAATGCATTTTGCAAAAATTAAAAAACGATCCTATTATCTACACACTAAAACGGTACAGGTAATATAACATTAAAATTGGCATTTGTTCATATCAGCGGATTGAACTGCGCAGCTTGCTGCAAAACAAAGAATTTGCAGATAAGATTACAGTTGCTTAAAATATAAACATGGAGTTGGTAAATTTGATAGTATTAGGAAGGAGATTTTGCTTTACATAACAATGTTAGTAGCAAAAAAAAAGGTTGCGTTTTTGTCTCTTAAAGTTGGCTAAGCTCATTAATTGCAGCACCGGTGAGGTAACAGAGTACATGCGAGTGGCAGTTTAGCGAAAACTGTCATTGCACTAACGAGGTGCCGTCTGACGCCGTGACGCAACGCGGGGATTTCGGCACCATTACGCAGAACAATCAAACTAATCTACTATGAATAGTAAAGCACCATCATTACACTCAGAAAATACAATTCTGCCAACTACGTTTGTTGAACTGCACCCAGACTGTTTGTTTACCTAGCAACTAATGATGGCAAATATTAAAAAGGAAAAGTTTTATCTTACAAAAAAATTTTTTTTAGAGATGCCAGGAATAGTGATTTGGCCGAATACCGAATATTCGGCCACAAACTCAGCCGAAGCGTAGAATATTCGGCCATGCTCTCAGCCGAAGCGCCGAATATTCGGCTTGAGATCTGTGCATTTAACACGTGACCTGTTACGACCTCTCATTGAGCTGCGTGCGGAGGTAACAGGGATAGGGTGTTTTTGTTGAAAAATGTTAAAACGATAGAATCAATACATGACAGTTTCAAAGAAGTTTTAAAGAAGTCGCAGATAATATGCAAAATTATGAGGGTGTGAAGAAAAGTTGTATTGCACATGAGATTGATTTTTATTTGAAACTATTCGCCTAGAGCGGACGGCAGATCCTTACAAGTCGTGGTCAGCAAACGCAAAGCAGTATGGATACTGCTTTGCGTTTACTGACCACGACTTCAGTCAGCACCTGTCAAAATTTTCTAAGATTTATCTATCGTCTCCTGGCAGGAGTGTTTATAGTGAGAGGATATTTTTAGAAGCAGGAATTGTTTATGAGGAAAAGCGCAATCTTTTGTTAGGTGCCAATGCTGAAAAAATTAGTTTTCATTCATCACAACCTGCCAATGATTTATTTTAAGTAGGTATTAAAGCAATAATTTGTAAATAAATACATGATACATTTTTAATAATACGTGCATTTTTCATTATTTGATATTCGGTCGAATAGTCGTAATATTCGGCCGAATACCGAATATTTAAAAAAAATGGTCGGATACCGAATAGTAGCTGAATATTCGTGGCATATCTACTTTTTTTCCACATTACGTCACCCTTGATCACCTATCATTGTAATCATAAAAAATATCTGATAGATAACGCTAAGCTCGAGTGTGCGTCATCACAGCAGCCTTGGCCTATTCACGCTGATTGATCGCAATTGAGCTGGCGTGCTGCTGGTTTTTTATTTATTTCCTTCATTGCACCATGTTTCCTCCTTTTAGTGTTTAAGACAACAATTAAGTTTCTTACTGCAATTGTTATGCATTTTTGTGTATGTTCAACAAAATACATATTTTTGGATTTTGTGACAAAGCAGAAACAACATGAAAATTTAAAGTTGTAACTTGATTAAATAAAGGAAATGAAACTATTTTTCCGGATTTAAATCGCGTATATTTGTTTTTTCGAACAATCCCACGTTCCGGGCCCTTTACAGGTCCCATGGTCACGGTTAACTCACATGTCAACATGACGAAACGTCGGTTTGTTTGAAAAAACAAATATACGCCATTTAAATCCAGAAAAATAGTTTCATTTCCTATGTGTAACAATCGTGAAACCCTAAGAACTCGATTTGATTAAATAAACTTTAAAAATATTAAAAGTTGACGAAATTTACAAGAACGCAAATTTCTTGCTAGCGAGCGTAGACTTTGAGACGGACACGTGCCATTAAACACTTTTTGTATTGGATTCTGGGGGATTTTTATCTAAATTGGGAATTGCTTGAAATTCCTGGGAATATACATTATATGCTCATGAAGTGTGTTCGGACGGAACCTATCAGGGTGCGGATAAATTTTGCACGGTTGGTTTTGGTACATTTAATGTTGAGTAGTTTCAATCCGTTTTGTCCGAGCCAATAAACGAAGATTTTGTATACATGTTTGGTTAGATAGTATTTAGGTTTATCTGTTTGGATTCTGTTAAGTATTGTTTTAAAAGTGTTCGTAATGGGGTTGACGTGTTCAATAATGATCAAAACCCCTGAATAAATTAGAGTTTAAAAAACCTCGAACCACTCGACAAACCTTTATTATAGTAAGCAGGTAATTAAAACAAACACGATGTAAAAAAAATGACAGTGTTGTAACAATAATAAAAAGAACATTACATATAATTTTATCATGTAGCTTAGTAGACACTAGTTTGTATTTATTTTCAAATTTCAGTTACTATGCGAGCGGTTAAAGCGCGCAGCGGCACTGCGCACAGCGCTACTGGAACGGTACGAGCAAACGCGCGATCAAAACGACGACCTCAGGTTTAGGGTGAGTAGCTGCCGAATGCGCAAGATTTCTTCATACTCAACGCATGCCGTTTTTTCTACAATAAAACAACCCTGGCATTTACTTCAGTTGGAGGAAAAGAACATAGAGTTAGAAGGCGCGCGAGCTCGAGTGCGGCAGCTGGAGACGCGCGAGCGCGCGCGCTCCGGCGACAGCCTCGAACGCAGCCGCGAACCGCACAGTAGCATGCGCGACATGGAGCCGCTACCCATCCCCGACGATGCCGACGACGACGACCGCCACGCCAGCGGGCCGGGCGGCACGCCGCGGCGCCGGCCCTCGCGCATCCCGCTTCACACGGCGCACAAGGGCGCCGCGCCCCGGCCGCCGCCCCGGGACGGCGCGCCCGCCACGCCCGCCCCCGCCACGGGACAGGCCAGCAGCAGCGTGCCCCCGCGGCCGCCGTCGGCGCACTCAGTGCGCTCGGTGCGCTCGGCGGCGTCGGGGCGCAGCCGCGCGTCGCGCGACGCGTCGGTGTCGGTGTCGGCGCCCACCCCGCGCAAGGACGGCAAGTCGGCGGTGCCGGTGCGGCGCCCGCCCGCCGCGCACGACAGCAAGGTGCGCTCCCGCTCGTTCTGGAACACCTGGTTTTTCAAGGACTCGTAGTGCCGCCGCCTGACGCGCCGAGTGCTAAACCCCACCGTGTGACAGTGCACCTCAGTGACTCACTCGTTAACAGTTCGTGCCGTTTTTCCCCCGTTCGGTATTGGTTCCCGAGTCGCGAGCGCGAGCCGCCCGTCACGTAGTACACATGCCATTATGTCGATCGTAAGTTTTCGTTTCATCTTCTTTCTTTTCGCTTCGACATCGTTGGTCCCGATTGCGAGACCTTACCTTTAGTTCCGATGTAGATTGATTTTTAAGTTGTAGTTTTTTGTTTGTTTGGTTCGAATCGTAGTTGGGGAAGCATGTCCTTACACTACTAACATATTAATCTTGTCACTAAACAATCTCTGTGCTGGCTTGAAAATCTAGATTCTGAAAGAAATCTCTTAAATTGTTAACCTTATCATGACTAGTAATAATATTATCGAATTAAGAAATGTACTCGCTACAAAATGAAATCAATTTAAATACAGTTAAAATGAAGTGTTTTAAAGCATGTAACCTGCAGAAACTTAATGTAATGTGAACATTGTACAGCCACATCATGGCCAGTGAATGAAATAATGTTGCGATTTTTACGCCACCCACTATCCGGAAACATACATATTAACACATCCTTGTAAAAGTTGTCGTCTGTCGTGGAAGTGCGTGACGCTTATTACATATTTTTGCAAAATTAATTTATTTACACACGGGAACCAACTCGATCCGCTTTACTTAATGTTCACACGCTATCCCGTCACACGATAACTTTCGGTGGCATGGGTTCATTTATTTAATCAATTTTGTGTTATGTACAGTCGTCATTGTTTGCGAATTCTAGAATCGATTAAACAAGTTAAAAGTGAATTTATTAAATAATTGTGACAATTCCATAAATATCTTAGAAGCTATGGTAAGTGTAAAATTGTATCTTATATTCCACTGCTACACATAGCGTGCCAATTCACGAGTAACACAGTATTTACATTAGTTTTTGTGCTCATTACGTTAATTTTATTTTGTTTGTTATTTATTATTTTTTGACATGGTGGCATATGACGCATTGGCCCGGAATTGCACACAAAAAATAAATATGAAAATAACTTGCGCACGTGTTAAGATTCTCGTAGTGAACACTGTAGCAGTGCATATTAATTTCGCGATTTTCCCGTACAGGGTCAGCTTTAGCACGAAAAATAAATTTTGCAGTACGTAATGAAAAGGCTACGAGCACGTGAATTAGTTAGTCTAACGTTCTATTTCTTTCACCGTTCGGATACACAAATAATCTATTCTAACTTACCGAACGGTGAAAAGAAATTCAACGTGAACGTTGTCGGCGGTAGGGTTATGTGTGACTGATGTTCGTGCGGGATGTTGACAGAGAGGTCGGCTAGTGGAGGCGGACCGCGACTCGCTGGCGGCGGTGGCCGAGTATGTGGCGCGCACCGAGCGCTTGGCGCCGCTGTTCTCGCGCCTGCGTGTGGTGCGCGCGCGTCCTCTGCCCGCCGACCTGCTGCAGGACTGCCGCCTCGCCTACGAAGCCCCTCAGAACCTCGCGCTCGAGCTCGAACGGTCCCTCCTCTTCGAGAACGCAAACTCCATCGACGTGAAGAACCTCAAGTCTATCACCTCTCACGGCGACGATTCCCTGTGGAACGGCAAGCCGCAGCAATACTTCGAGAGCATGAATTACGCGGAGCAAATAGAGCCCGGCGATAATAAGGGCTATGAAAATGATTCCTTAGCTCCCAGTTAATTCGAAATATTTATAATATTTGTTCTAAAATATTTTATTTCGTTAGAAGTGTAGTTCTCTGCGGCGAAGCCACGTATGGTGAGTTCTTCAGGATCTTCATGCCAGAATTTCACTCTATACGAACTCTATACAGTGTGACGCGGTTGTAGTACTGTGTCAAACGCATTATTCCACTTTAAAAGGCACGCTGTAAAATTGTCTCCCGAGTGATCTGTGATACGAATGATATTCTTATTTTTATCTTTCAAAAACAATAGTTTATGTAACAACGAAAAGAAAGAAAATAAAAAAGATTGTTATTCTTATGGAATTTGTATTATTAAAAACTTAATTTGGGTATGCGAACCATGTATTCTAGTTTTGTTTCAATTTTATGCTATGTATTTGAATTTAGAAACCTATTCCTGTTGGTGAAGATTATCATGTGTTACTATGAAATAATGAAATTGTACAGTTGTTGGAAGTCTCGAGTATAATGGTAGCTGACTGTACCCACTACATCATTCCTTAATATGTTTAAGAGCAGACTGTAATTAATATGAAATGAGTGAGAGCTTGGAACGACTGTAGCAAGGCTGTGAAACATGAAGTGTGGCTGAAGTTGTTTCTCATGTAGTCCTAGACGGGAATAACTATTTAGTTAGGAATATTAATTAATGGTTCACACGGTAAAACTATTTGTGTCAACTAAATGGATATCGCTGTCCAAACGTCCAGTAGTGAACGTCCTATCGCGACATCGCATGATTGCCTTTCTTTTGTAAGATTATTAACGATTTGTTGATTTGGTAGAAACGCAGAGCTCGGTATCAAATAGTAGGAGACTGATTTTGTATAAAAAATAATAATGATATGGTAAGGAAACTCCATACAAATCATTGTAATTTTCCTCTTTCAATACTTAGGTTTCTTATGTTTATGTATAAAATTGCCTACTATGGTCTTGTTAAGTGTAACTATTTACATACCTAAATGTTATTCCATTTCCTTAGAATATGTGACTGTAATTTATGTAAATTAGGAATTAATATCTAAATGTTAACTATCAATAATTATTTAAGTCAACTGTTTTATGTACAGCTTTTAATCACGCTATTAGAAATTGTAAATTATTAAGCCACTACCTACCTAAATTTAAGATACTCATAAAATTATCTAGTTGACTTGAATCTAGTTAATACAAAAGATGTACAGAAATCATATCATTATATACAAATTATTCAAATAAATTGTTCATATCAATATTTTATGTTTTATTCTTATGTAAGCAAAGTTTAATAACTAGTATCAAAGAAAAAGTTATAACAAAACAATAAATAATTTAAATAGCTGTATTCCGGTTATCATAAGAGCCATTGCTCTTCTTATCCGTCATTACGGATAACAGTTAAACAACAATATTGATAAAACTAAATACAATACAAACATTAGAATTAAACGGAACGGAGCTTCGAAATGCAGTTTGATGTCTAAATATGACACCAACAAAACCGTCAAAATTATGGCCACCTTATTGGCCGAGCTAAACGGAAAAATGGAAAAATTAGACATTATCTGTAACGCCTTAGCGTATCCCGTCTCTGTTAAGTCGAGTAAGACTGTAAAAACATTGTGACGTCTCATGTACCACTACACAAACCTAAAAGCTTTAAGCCAATTAGCCAAATGGACAAAAGTAGAAATAGAATGCCAACTTTTGAGTCAAGCCAATTTTATTTACTTGGGTGCAATTAACCTGTCTATCGAGTGCAATAAGTATTTTTATGATAACCGGGCTACACAATGTAAATGTAGACATTCTTGCTAACGCGTGAATTACACTCAGTGGTTCGAGCCCACAGTAGCTGTTGTTTTCTTTTTTCTCGTATGTTTAAAAGAAGCGAAGAAAAGCTACCGCCTTGACAAACCGCTAAATACAATTCGAGCGCAAAATTAAAGCGTCGCTCTAAGGCACGGTATCTCTAACGCGCAGAACTTAAAAAAAAATGTAAAAATTAAAAAAAAATACCAAAATCGTTTAGGGCATCGTGTCTCTAGGACGCATGACAGGTTCAGCAGCCAGTATCAAATTTGGTATAAATCATATCAAGTTGATAACAGTGAATTACCTTACGACTATAAGAATTACCATAAATTTAAAAAAAATACTAGCAATTAGTTCCCTTCAAACTTTGGTCCGAGGGTAATATCTTGTAGAGCTAAAGTTTCTGGGTCCTTCGTTACGTTGATGAATCCGTGTTGCATCAATTCTGAAAATCAGAAGCGTCCAGCATAATCTCGTTAGGCATCTTAAGCTGCAGTATTCCGTGAGTCGATTACCATTTAACTTATTGTTTTTCATTTTTGTTCTAACAATGGCACAATACACATAGGTACAAAAAAAGCAAGCAAGTAACAATTATGTACAACCTTGAAGTGCAATTTTATCCAAAGTAAAACCATATAAGCAATTTTAGGAAAGCAGATGAAAAATCGCTTCCGTGGAGTTGTTAGGTTTTCGCGATTGTTACATATAGGAAATGAAACTATTTTTACGGATCTAAATTGTTTTTTTCAAACAAACTAACGTTTTCTTTACAGGTAACGGTTACATGATCACGGGTGATTTAGATTAAAAAAATAGTTTTATTTCCATTGGTTTCTGTTGTTCCTTTAAACATTACAATTATTTGCTCGAATACCGCGAAGCCAAAAGGATGAATAATAATTTTCAGGTACACCAGCAGTCTAAAAGTACTGCTAAACTATTACCAACTAAAAAGCATTTAAGTACGAGTAAAAATTACCGATCGGAAACAATTGGTAACTTCAAAGCCAACTTGTTCATCGACTTGATGATTATAAGTTAATAGCAAAAAAGAAAAAAAGAAAGCCTTAAGCCTCCACAGACCCAGAAAAAGTTCTGGGTCTGTGGAGTCTTTAAGCAATAAATATGTATACAAAATTCAGAGGACCGATAAAGCAATTGCATTTAGTTACTGATAGCTAAAACCCGTAAATACGACTTACTCAGAATTGAGGTGAAGCAGCGAGCCGCAATGATTCTCTTGTATCCCAACATGACAGGCCCACGGGCGACCAGACTTTCCACCGTGACCGGACCCCGCTGTGCCATGATGTGATTAAGAATTTTCAACATGGTACCTTCGATGCCCCATTGGTTCCTGCAATTTTAACATCAAGTTTAACAAACTAGGCATCGTAAAGAACAAACAGCATCGACTGCGCCTGAGAACACGCACCCTTCGTGTAATAAAGCCACATTTGCAAAATCACAAATTTCAGGGGCGACATTTAAAGATTCTACCATTGACTTATTGTAAGTCAATGGATTCTACAAACGAAATTATTCTATAACTTTTTTATAAGTGAATAGTAGAGATATAAATTTTCACTTATACGTAATTTGGTTAATGTAGTTCGTATTATTTGTATGATTTTCATGTAAAAGGCCTTTGACATATGTTTACTTGATGGCTTATTATAACGAGGGTACGAACTAATTGCGCAAAGTGCGCTAGACAATACATTTTTAATTATACTCAAAATATTTATCATTTTTTGCATTTTTTATTGTAGAACGCAGTAATTTCCGTGTTTAATTCGAATACCTGTGACGGCATGTAATAATAATCTAAGTTATGTATTATATTGAATTTATTTTCCCCGTCGGCGACCTCTCTATTGAAAAGCAACCGTTCTCCCTCTGGGCTTGCATTCCTCAAACTTATAATACACATACATATGTATGCGTATATTTATTTATTTATTCATGGAAAACCGACAGCTTCTTACATTTAATAAAAACAGGAAAGATATGCGTGAGATATACGTCGAAACCTCATTAGTAATTACTTAGGTACTTAAAAACTGAAGAAATAAGTCAGTAAATATATGAGCCTTACGTAGTATGTACCTCGAACCAACTGTATGTATATGGTATATAATATGATGAAGCCTTATAAACTGCCACTTTGTTAAACTACAAACTGCAGAGACCACGTTCCTCTACGTGTTAATATGCTCCTTCATTATTTTCAAACACTTAAGCGATAATATAATTCAGTCTGTAGCATAAATGAACGACGATCGAAACGACATCATATTTGTTACAGACAATTTTTTAAATATACATCGTGAAACTAATCACACGAAAACAAAAATACGTAAAGTAGCAAGTGACATTTAACAAATATGACATTCATACAGAAGAATAGTTTGTAAGTCTACATTAATTAGTGGAGATTTGATATAAAGCATAGATCAATATAAACCCAAGTTGGTAGGGTTTATAGTAGGCATAATTAAATTATTAATGTACTTGGTACTTGGTGTTACGGGCTGGTGTAAATTAAATTATTAATGTAAATTGAGGATATTTCAAACACACTTTTGTAATACAACTATTAAACTAATTATTACGTTCAAGTAATGTAAATCAATGTCGGAAATGCCTTTTAATTATCTCGGGTAATTGATATTTCACGGTGTATAGATTGGCCAACGTATTGTAACTCACCGTATGAACCTTTGCGAGTCAGTAGTCATAACAGAATCTCCAAGAGATACTTTGGTTCTATCGAGACTTCCTTGAGGTGTTTCCGAACTTTCGCTATCATCTTTTCGCGCTTGAGTTGTTCCCTGAACGTCTTTCTGCGTCGGAAGTTCCATTCCAGTCTCTGCTCTGACTGGCTGCATGTCAGCCAAACCAGCCTCTTGCAACATAGTGGAAACATTCATCATTGTGTTTCTCGCTACTGTTTGTGGAAGCTCTTGGATATTTTCTTCGGGTGGAACATTTTCGTTATCTGTATGCGGCGGCGGGATGTTTTCTTTATCTATGGATACAGAAAAATATATACATCATTAATATTATACTATGTTGCAAAATTCATTTGTTGTTTCACATTTTTGCGTTGGTTAAAAATATTGTATTTATACTCCCCTTATAAGTAATAAATAGCTAATGAATTAATTACTATTTCGTGTATTTCTGAAATTCGTAGTATTTGAGTACTCGTGGCTTAAGCTTTAGCACTCTTAACATTCTTACATTACATCTACTTGTATGGAACACGTAAGTACTTTATTAGAACTTACCAGTCGCATCTACGCAACTTCGAGAGGCCCGTTGATTGTCTCTGGAGGAAATATAGCCAGATTTTTGTCGCTTTGGCTGTAACAAAACAAAAGACATGAAATAAAGCAGACTAAACATGAAGGAATTCATATGTTGTTGGAAGTAAAACTTATATATTGTGTATGTATCTTGAAACTTCAGTTTGCAGAATGTAACTACGACTGGCTATGATATCAGCTTAAAATTATTGAGCTTAGAATCCTACTAATATTATAAATGATAAAGTTTGAACACATGATGATTGTTTATATATTACTTTATAAATAAATAAATAAATAAATAACGCACACACTCAACATAGCCCCGCACTAGGGAAACCCTGTGTCGCGGGTGCCATGGACACACATATAGACAACCACAAATTACACCCAAACTCACGAGAGAAATAATTGTAGGCCATACAACTATTTCTCTCGGCCCGGGAATCAAACCTGGGACCTCTGCGTGGCAGTCCGGCATGGTAACCGTTCGGCCACGGAGGCAGTTATTATATAGTTTGAAGCCGGATTGGCTAAAATGAAATTCGAATAAAGTTTGGTGGACTTTATAATCTGAATTTCGCAGACGGACTCTGAATTTCGCAGGCGGACTCTGAATTTAGACGTTTGTTACATTAAACAGGCCAAAGTGGATGATAATAATTGTAAAAAAATATGGGAGTTTATATCAAGGTCATAGCTAGCTAGCTAGCTTTTCTAGTTTTATACGTAAAAATACCACAGTTTTACGACATTCGTCCCGAAGTCACAATTCGACAATTGTCAATTGAATCTCGCAATTTTTACATAGCTTGAATATAATTAAAGTCAATGCATATTAACTATAAATTCACTGTCTTTAATTTCATTATTTTAAAAATACAAAATGTATCTATTTTCATTTAACATCTAAATGAAAATAAAATTAAATTCTCAGAAGACCATTCTGAGAATTTCAACTTATCCCCATCTTATTCCCATTTTACTTAATTTTCACGCCAAACGCATGTCACCTTTCTGCCAGTTTATATCAAAAATATTATGTCGGAGTACGCTGGCGTTCAGTCGAGTTCCGGAAATAATATTTACGTTTGGATTTTGGTGTTATTTTTTTAAATATTTTTTTCGCACTCTCATAACCCAGCACTGTTGCAACCCTGTATCGCGGGTGCCATGAAAACACACATAGGTAGACAACCACAAATTAGGTACACCCAAACTCACGAGATAAAAAATTTAGGCCATACAAATATTTCTCCCGGTCCTAGAATCGAACCCGGGATCTCCGCGTGGCAGTCCGGCATGGTAACTGTTCGGCCACGGCCATTTTGAAAGTGACGGTTCTGCTAAATATTTACGTTATTATTAATATTTTTTATTACAATCAAATTATTTAAAAGTTTTCAACCCCCGAGGTTATCTATACGTCAAGGTGACTTCTACCACATGCTAATGATAACACTTTTGCACGTTACCGTCCAATGTTCCAAACATTGCATTAGAGAGTATCATTTTCACAAATAACGCATACAGTGGCAGCAAGGGGAGAATGATCGGTATTGATATGCTAAATGGCACTTATTATAATTCGATACTTACCGATAATTCATAATCAGCAGTTCTCTTTCGGGTCTGTGAAATTGTCTCAAGTTTCTGTGTAGGTAGATCAGCGATGTCCATGGGTTCTTGAATACATGGCACTTCAAGCACATTGGGAACTTCTGTAATGTTCAGTCCTCCAGTAGTTATATTGATATCTCCCTCTGTCACATTGAGAACCTGTTGTGACGGGTTCACGTTCTTTGGAACTTCGGAAATTATTTCTTCTGCTGGTATTTGAATCGTTTTTTCTAGCATAGAGCGTGTGCGACGTTGACGCGGTTCGTCTGCTGCGATCTCCTGGAAATTGCAATAGTGTAGGTATCACAATAAATGTGCAAAGCAATTCCTTACTCTTGATCTCGGAAATGTTGGATCCGTACAACAAAAATATGTGAAAAAAAAATTGAAAAACAAAGTTTTGTTTCTTCAAACAAACCAATGTTTCGGGCGCCTTACAGGTTGCATGGTCACGGTTGACTGTCAGTCAACCGTGACTATGGAACCTGTAAAGGGCCCGAAATGTTGGTTGGTTTGAAAAATTTAAATCCAGAAAAATAGTTTCATTTCGAAAACCTAAACTCGATAAACAAAGTTTTGTTAAGGAACAAAAATTGTTTTACCCTTGGGCGTTACATATTTATTCCACCTTTTATAACTAAACCAATAAAAACCTATTAAACGAAATCATATAAATATATAAGGCCAAAGTTCATCACCATAGCTCAATACGCACTGGAAGCTATGTTTTTTTTAATATTATATTTATAAGAAAAGTATTTGGTAACGCATACTCAACCCATTCTTGAAGTTACACAAACTCACTTTCTTAAAATTTTAGTACTCTACGTAAATGACGTCACATGCAACTTTCAACAAAGAATAATATACAACTATAATATATCTAGGCGTGGCTCACTGTACCTGATAAAGAGCAACCAATTTATATCGAACTATATCCATATGTTTCTCCAGTGCGTCGACGTATACTTTTAAAGTGTCGCAACATGCAAACAAATCTTCTATTGTTTCTTTAATACCGATATGTTGTTCACTGTCTAATGTTTGCATTTTTGTAATAATTTGAAAGTAATGAAACTTTAATGTAACTTTCAAAAACAAATATTTGAGGGTAATTTTAAAATTTAAATGACACCATATTTGGCATTCTACCGCCAAATTGTGTCAGCAAGTGCACAATGCGTTCCATTGCACGCAAAAAAGAAAATAATAAATAGGATTTGCGGTTTGCTTTGTTTGTTTGTTTGGTTTATTTTAATTTCTAAAAATGTAATTACTTACGGACTAGTCCGACAAATTATCCAACTATAAAAAATATGGATACAAAAATGATGCCTGATTGATTATAGTCTCTGATGTAACGCTTACTATATTCCGGAGCAGAACGAAGAGCTGTGTAAGCAACCAATAGTATTTCATCATTTTGACTAAGCGGCTGAAACATAGCCCTTTTTCCCTGTAGATAAATGGTGCAATGCTGGTGTTCCCGGCTAAAGCCTATACCTGTACCTAGCTTAAAGGCAAGGTATAGGTTATTAAGACAAATTTATTTCGTTATAATATATGAATTGCCCTTGAAATCCGTCATAGTTTTCACTATACTTACTGCCCATTCGTAACGAAGAATCCTCTTATACGGACTTGCAGTAAGGCAGCGTCTACATACCTCAGCGAATTGTCTATGTATCACGCTTAAATTACGCTGGAACATGCGCGTGAGTGCGTCTGCATGCCGCGTCTGCAGTCGCGCGCCGTTCGTCGCCGGACGCCGCGAGTATATGTCCCAAGGTACACGGACATCTGCTATATCGTCGTTGAATTTCTGTATGATACACATAAAAAACCAATGCAAATAAGTCGCTCCAAAAAAAAAGATAATATTAATCCATAACCAATAGGCGTCCTAATCGCCAAGACACGCTTGGCGATTCTGATAAAGATGCAATTTAGTAAACAAATACATAAAATAAAAACAACAGCCTCCTAAAGACCATTGCAGAAAGGAGTGAGTGCCCAACGTTGCGGCTTAACAAATATTATGGAGTACCTTGTACCAATATAAGTACTAAACATAGTTTTAAGTCTGTAGTAACATTTTAAGGATCTCAATGGTCTGCTAATAAAAGAATTATTATTAAATAGCTAAAAGAGGCTGCTGTTCATCTCTTTGATTTACTCCTTAATATTTTTTATTACAATCATAGGGCGTTACGTGGTATGCATACTTGGCATTGCTTGTTTCGATATGGTATATTGTATGGTGTTTAGTTATCGTTATTATGGGATAGACAAGACTCTACAAGAACATCTAAATTACCTCCAGGGGCATTTTCCAGAACACTCAGACAAGAATGAATATTAAAAAAATATCGACGCTTGAAAGGCAAAATGGGAATATGACACAAAAGTGTCGCTTATCCCATTTTGCCTTTCAAGCGTCGATATTGTTTCCTAATTGAGGGAGGCTAGGGAATTAACTAAACCTGATTTCTCATCTAACGCCCAGGAGGCAAACTATAAACGGATAGCATACCTCGCATCTAAGTTCCACTGTGATATTATCAATCCGACTGCGTAAGAATGCAGACCCGATCTGGGTTCGTTTGTCGATTATCAATTTCGGCTTGCGACGTCTTCTGACCTGCTGCTGGTCGTCTTCCAGCTCCTATAACATTACAAATGTCATTTAACCAATTTGTGCACAGGCGTTTACTGTACTTGGTACTTGGTGCAACGGGCTGGCGTTTACTGTATCGAATAGTAAGTTTATTAGTTAGTTAAAAAATAAAAGATAATTGATAACTGGGGTAATTTTTAAATAAAATTAGCATGTAAATAAATATTGGACAACATTACATACGTAGTTACACAGTCTCACTCCTATAGAGCTGACCATGCGTCATCATAAATGCACCTGCACCCAAAACTGCATAGTTGCATGTCTATAGTAGATAAGGCGCTTAGCAGTAAGAATATCGAATTAAAATAAATCAATATTATATCTACCACACGCAAAATACGAGCGCCTTGACGTCGAGTTGCGGA